CAGTAATAACAGGATAACTTCCAAGTTCAGCTCTAGAAGCAATATTACTTGAACGTCTGTGCACTCTAATACACTCTTACAGAACTTAATGTGAAGTTGCTCAAATTGTGATCTGTCATTAAAGAGATTATTAACAAATCTTTTTGTATCAATTTGATCATCCTGTTTAGATTTGTAAATCTTGAAGGTAAAAGCCCCCCAAATTTCTGAGCCATACATTAAGATCGGTAAGACTGTACTTTTAAAAAGCTGTAAAACATTACTAATAGAAAGAGTTTGGTTATGTAAAGTGATAGTTTGCCTAAGAATACCTAATGCACGTTATGCTTTCATTACCAGATTTTCAATGGCAAGTTTAAAATTACCATTACTTTGAAAAATGATACCAAGATAGTTATATGATGTAACTACTTGGATTTTGTTATCATTTAGGTAGAAATCCATTTCAATTAGCCTACCTAATTTATTAAATACAATAAGGTTTCATGAATAGAGGATGGGTATCATGTAGGTTTCCTGGAGAGTGGATGGGTATCATGTAGGTATCCTGAATAGTGGATGGGTATCATGTAGGTTTCATGAATAGAGGATGGGTATCATGTAGGTTTCCTGGAGAGTGGATGGGTATCATGTAGGTTTCATGAATAGAGGATGGGTATCATGTAGGTTTCATGAATAGTGGATGGGTATCATGTAGGTATCCTGAATAGTGGATGGGTATCATGTAGGTTTCGTGAATAGAGGATGGGTATCATGTAGGTTTCCTGGAGAGTGGATGGTATCATATAGGTTTCCTGAATAGTGGATGGGTATCATGTTGGTATCCTGAATAGTGGATGGGTATCATATAGGTTTCCTGAATAGTGGATGGGTATCATGTAGGTATCCTGAATAGTGGATGGGTATCATGTAGGTTTCATGAATAGAGGATGGGTATCATGTAGGTTTCCTGGAGAGTGGATGGGTATCATGTAGGTATCCTGAATAGTGGATGGGTATCATGTAGGTTTCATGAATAGAGGATGGGGATCATATAGGTTTCATGAATAGAGGATGGGTATCATGTAGGTATCCTGAATAGTGGATGGGTATCATGTAGGTTTCATGAATAGAGGATGGGTATCATGTAGGTTTCCTGGAGAGTGGATGGGTATCATATAGGTTTCCTGAATAGTGGATGCGTATCATAAAGGTTTCCTGAATAGTGGATGGGTATCATGTAGTATCCTGAATAGTGGATGGGTATCATGTAGTTTCATGAATAGAGGATGGGTATTATGTAGTTTCTTGGAGAGTGGATGGGTATCATGTAGGTATCCTGAATAGTGGATCGGTATCATGTAGGTTTCATGAATAGAGGATGGGTATCATATAGGTTTCCTGAATAGAGGATGGGTATCATGTAGGTTTCCTGAAAAGTGGATGGGTATCATGTAGGTTTCCTGGATGGATGGATTGGTATCTTTTGGGATACAATGAGTGATAAGTGAGTATATATCTAGTATGTTGAATGGGTATTCTGGAAGTTGAATGGGTAACCTGAAATGTAGATGGGTGTCCTTAATTGTATACAGTTATCCCCTTGAATGGCTCCATTGAGTTTCAATGTATTTAATATTGGTGAATTTGTAAAATCAGATTTATGAATATGAACATTTTCCAAAAGTAAGCTGCAAACTCATCATGTGACTTCTTTACTAGTATATTATGTAGATTGCTAGTTAATAATTTAAATTTTAAGAATGTTTCAAACCATGTCGGTTGAAATTTATACAAACCTCAAACCCTCAATCCTAACCCACCACTTTCTACCCTTCTCCCATAATTATATACATCTGAACCATGTCTTGTGCAATTAAAAATGGCGTATAGTAGCTCTCTGTTATTTTCGTTTAGATATTTAATAATTGCAGATAATAACGAAATAACAATCCATTGTGTTTCTAGTTTTTCTAGACTTTAATCCCTCTTTCTGCGATAGCAGCTATGTATGAAATAATGGATATTATCAGTATTGTGCATACTTGGTGTAGTAGAGAAGCTTTGGATTACAACGCATAAAAATGATAACGACATCAACATAATTATGATGGTGAGACAGGTATTAAAAGGTCCAACATGTATAGTATGCCTTGCTGAGCTTAGTCACTAGGAAACAAAGCCGCTGAATGGGAGGAAAATGAGAATAATGTCAAAACTATTTGCTAGCTGAATAATGGAGTTTAACTCCTTGTAGGACACAAGTTGATCCCGTTAAATGTATGCACGATTGAGCTGCCCAGGGTTAATGACAGGAGCTCGTCTTAGAGAATTTCCACTAATGAGAATTGTTCATATTTTCTACCACAGTTAATGATCGTTTATTTTTTCTACTGAGATGAGGGGAATCTGTGTTGTCTGATATTTTACTGTAATGACTCATTTTACTAATACTACTCAGTAATGCTGTTAAGAATAGGATATCAAAATCTACATCATTAGTACGTACTGTCTAAAGATATTAACCAATGGATTCTGTGATTTTCAAACTGTAATTTCATAGCTGAGAATTCTTCTCTACCATTTTTTCATTTTATTAAGATGGAGAATTTTATGTTAACTTTGTTTTACTTGAGAATTATACTCATAATTTGGCAAATTACAAAAATCTAACAATTCATTTGTGTGTTAATATGATTGTATCATAGCAATATTATGTATTCTGCATTATTGTCTTCTATCCAGGAATGCCATTGATGGGTCTAAATTTACCCTTTTTTACCTTAATTTACATTGACACATTGCTCTTCATCCTGATGACATCTCAAAGTTGTAGCTCATATTAAACATGGAAAATTGATCTGAAACTGACACATGCAGTTGTTTCGGTGACCTCATTTGCATATTATGGAGGATATCTTGAATAATTAATAAGACTTAGCTATCAAGTATACTTTTATAACAGTCTCCTTGACAGAGGATCTTGTTTATAAGCCTTCCTGAGCATATTAGGATTATTTAAATTGCACTCATTAATGACTAATGACAAAAAAATAATTTGTAAGTACTCGGTACACACAACAGAGAAAAATGTGGATGGATTCACCAAATGTTAGCAAGTTCGCTACTGAGATATCTGATTTTAAAAAATTGATAAAAAAATGGCTGAATTGCTTTGAGTTAAAAGGAATTTTTCTCAGATTGTCTGATTTTTCATTGGGAAAATTTCACGTAATTCTTTAGATGTATAGACCGGATATAGAATGTGGGAGTGGGAAATAGACCTGATCATATGAAATTCCTTTCATAACTTGCACAGTGTGTATCTAAATAATTTAATATTTGGTGAAAAAAAACAAATGAACAATTCAGTGATTTTTAAATGAACTTTTAAGCTATCAGAAAATATGTATGAAACTCTGAAAAGTAGTTTTTGATATAGAATTATGTCTGTATAAAGCATTTGTATAGAATGACATTTTTGTATGTAATTTATTATTTCTGTTGATTAATACCCTGGGAAGAGACTGGATATGGTACCATATGTGTTATTTGGTGTCCATGTAAGAGGCTAGATATGGTTTGTCACCCTGGAGTATATCGTACAGTATATGTTAGTTGGTTATGGTTTGGTGCCTGAGAAGATGCTGGATGTGGTTTGTTACCCAGGAAGCTGATGGTATCATATGGTTTAATGCCCTGGTAAAAGACTGGATATGGTTTGTCACCCAGGAAAGAGGTGAGTTGGTGCCCTGGGATGAGGCTGGATATGGTTTGTTGCCAAGGAAATGGATGTACATAACATGTGGTGTGTCTTTCTGTGAAGAGGCTGGATATGGTTTGGATATGCATGGTTTGTCACCCAGGAAAGAAGAGTCTGGATGAGATTTGTCATCAGGAAATGGATGTACATAACATGTGGTTTTTCACCCTGGGAAGAGGCTGGATATGGTTTGCTACCCAAGAAAAAAGATGGTACTTTATGGTTTGGTGCCCCAGGAAGAAGCTTGTTATAGTTTCTCACCCAGGAAAGAAAAGTTACCATATGAGTTGGTGCCCTTGGAAGAGGCTGGATGAGGTTTGTCATCAGGAAATGGATGTACATAACATGTGGTTTTTCGCCCTGGGAAGAGGCTGGCATCATATGGTACCATATGGCTGGATATGGTTTGTTGCCAAGAAAAGAGGCTGCTTTTAATTAATGTGGAGAGTGCTTTATGAATAACTCTAAGGATTTTTACTGTGGATAACGGTTTACTTTAATCAATTACTATAATTAACTACTCCAATTAAAACATAATTTTTCTGTGAATATTACTTCTCTTTCTGGAAACATAGTTTCATTGAGTAGCAGCCTCTTTCTATATTGAAGTAACTGTAGTCCCCATCTTTCAGCCATTGTAGCCTCTTCCCAGCACTAGCTCATATTACAGTGTGGTTTCTAGGAAAGAGGATGAAATCAAGCAAACTTTTTGAGTAATTGTGTAATACAGTCATTGCATGTGAAGGCATTGTTTTTATAGCACACGCAATCATTAATTTTATCTTCGAGGACAATGATTTATGTGGCAGTGCAGTTCGCTTTGTAATAAAAGGTGAACAAAAAATACTTACATCGTGATGAACCGTCTTTTGTCTTGTATCAGCTAATAACGTTATTTCAAAAATTACGACACTCTTTTCATAAAGTGACAGAACGTAAAATGTAATTTGTACAAAATGCATTGCCAGGAAAAATGTGTGCTATCTTTTTATTAGGTTCTTAGGGATATTTTAATTGACTGTAAATGTATGTCAAACTGAGCAAGCTGTGGCAGCTATACTTTATGAATTACATATATAGGATTTTACTAATTTTCTCTTTAAAAGTATTATCTAGCAATGTATATTTCAAAGTGCAGGAAAACATTGTTCAGTTTATAAGTTTATGGAGATAGAACTGAAAAAATGGTGTTTGATGTCCAGTTTACACAGAGTTCAGTTTGGACAGGTTTTCAGTTTACACATGGTTCAGTTTTAGTCAGGTTTGCAGTTTACACATGTTTCAGTTTAGAAGGGTTTTCAGCTTACACATGGTTCAGTTTACACAGTGATCCAATTTACACATGGTTCAGTTTAGACAGGTTTTCAGTTTACACATGGTTCAGTTTAGTCAGGTTTGCAGTTTACACATTGTTCAGTTTAGACAGGTTTTCAGTTTACACATGGTTCAGTTTAGACAGGTTTTCAGTTTACACATGGTTCAGTTTAGACAGTGATCTAGTTTATACAGGGTTCAGTTTATACAGGTTTTCAGTTTACACATGGTTCAGTTTAGACAGTGATCTAAGTTTATACAGGGTTCAGTTTAAGACAGGTTTTCAATATACACATGGTTCAGTTTACACATGGTTCAGTTTAGACAGGTTTTCAGTTTACACATGGTTCAGTTTAGACAGTGATCTAGTTTATACAGAGTTCAGTTTAGACAGGTTTTCAGTTTACACATGGTTCAGTTTACACATGGTTCACTTTAGACATGGTTCAGTTTAGACAGGTTTTCAGTTTACACATGGTTCAGTTTAGACAGGTTTTCAGTTTACACATGGTCAGTTTAACAGGTTTTCAGTTTACACATGGTTCAGTTTACACATGGTCAGTTTAGACAGGTTTTCAGTTTACACATGGTTCAGTTTAGAAAGGTTTCTATTTTATGCAAGGTTTTGTTTAGACTGGTTTACAGAGGATTGGGTTGACACAGATTTCCATGTGCATCATGTGTTTTACTGGAATTGAAGCCCATTCCGAGACAATACTGATATGTTAATTTTAATTTTACAACTTTGGTATGCCAGCATGGTGGTTGTGGCTTCAAACTACCTGTATCATAGTTCCAAAGTTTAAACACTGGCCTGTTGTATCTGTATCCCATTAGGGAAACCATAATTGGCCACTCAAGTAATATCACACACCAGTTAAAAAATGCAGCATTATGGCTTGGCTTTATTACCTCTGAATCCAGTATGGTGGATAGAAATCATAATAAATTGAAATTATTCTTTTTAACTGGAATAAAAAGTAATGTTATATATATTCAGATGTAATATATATATATATATATATATATATATATATATATATATATATATATATATATATATATAGATGAAACCATTTGAGGAATAGTACATTATGCGCTGAATATATCTAATCCCAGCCAGCATCTATGGCCTTTTATCTCTGTGATATCTATTTTTATTTGCCACTGAAAATTTATATGTACCCATGTGTCCCAAGGATTATTATTTCAAGTAAATATAGCGCCAGCAAAATGTGCCACAAGGGGAGTTTTATGTGGGAATGTGGAATAGACTAGATATTGGTATGTGGGAATGGCGAATAGACTAGATATTGGTATGTGGGAATGGGGAATAGACTAGATATTGATGTGTGGGAATGGCGAATAGACTAGATATTGGTATGTGGGAATGTGGAATAGACTAGATATTGGTATGTGGGAATGGTGAATAGACTAGATATTGGTATGTGGGAATGGGGAATAGACTAGATATTGGTATGTGGGAATGGGAAATAGACTGGATATTAGTATGTGGGAATGGGGAATAGACTAGATATTAGTATGTGGGAATGTGGAATAGACTGGTTATTGGTATGTGGGAATGGCGAATAGACTAGATATTAGTATGTGGGAATGTGGAATAGACTAGATATTGGTATGTGGGAATGGCGACTAGACTAGATATTGGTATGTGGGAATGGGGAATAGACTAGATATTGATATGTGGGAATGGGGAATAGACTAGATATTAGTATGTGGGAATGGTGAATAGACTAGATATAGTGTGGGAATGGCGAATAGACTAGATATTTCTATGTGAGAATGGGGAATAGACTAGATAACGGTGTGTGAATGGGGAAATAGACCTGATATAGTGTGAGGGTGTGGGAAATAGACCTGAAATAGTGTGTGGGAATGGGAAATAGACCTGATATAGTGCGTGGGAATGGGAAATAGACCTGGTATAGTGTGTGGGAATGGGAAATAGACTAGATATTTCTATGTGAGAATGGGAAATAGACTAGATAATGGTGTGTGAATGGGGAAATAGACTAGATATAGTGTGGGAATAGGGAATAGACCCGATATAGTGTGTGGGAGTGGGGAATAGACCTGATATAGTGTGTGGGAAT